TCCCCCCATCCACTCATCCCACTGACGACGTCGCAGTTCTGTTCGCATTCCCGCTGCCTTCTGTGGCCTGTACGGCCTGCGCCCATCCTATGAGCGCCTGCCATACTGCAATGCATTGAACGCGCAGGATGGCCAGGAATCCATTTCCTCTGTCCTCGGCCCTATGACAAACTCCGTTTCTGGCCTCAGAGTCTTCACAAAAGCAATCCTGGACGCAAAGCCGTGGCGAAAGGATCCCCTTGCCATCCGGAAGGAATGGAGCTGGAAGGAATATGCGCTCTCGGATCACGGTGAAGGGGGCACATTATGTTTTGCAATAATGTGGGATAACGGCGTCGTGAAGCCGCATCCTCCCCTGACCCGCGCAATGCAGATGACAAAACGGGCTCTCGAGGCCGCGGGCCATAAAGGTGATCATCATCAGCCAATTGACGCTACGGTGCCCGGTCGAAATGCTGACTGCGATCCCTTCTTTACGTTAGTGATTGACTGGGAGCCTCACCGTCACCTGGATATTTACAGGAATGCGGTACGTTTCCTGCATGAACCGGAATTGGTGTCCTAGCGCGTAGTGGAAATCTAATGCTGTCCCGCAGGAGGGCATCTTTGCCGCGGATGATGGGCACGACTACCTCACCGCGTGTGCCCTGTCCGGAGAACCGCTCATGCAAACCATGAGTCCCACAACCGACGCACATGAATATGCACTGGACGAGCCTTTCGCACGAACCATCGTGGGAGAACGGCGGCACCTGAGTGCATTCGAGGTTCGTAGCTTCCATACACTTACTCTGGGACGGATGCCAAATATCGAACATCGTGGCGGTCATGATCGCTTATCTCTCCGAGTAGCTCTGGCAATTTCACCAAGAGAAGCGCGCGCTCAGAAAGTCGCATCTAGACTACTGGGAGGCCACCGTGTCGAGGACAGGCACCGGTCGCCCGGTCGATGCAATCATTAGCCCCGCGGCGGCCTATACAGCGTGCCCTCACGGCTGCAACTCGTCCGTGCTGATTCCTCTGGGACCTTTTATTTCTGACTCATCGTATAATCTTGTACGTCACAGAGACGCTTTTTACACAACGTTGTGCAATGCTCTCGACTATACCTCCTCTGTCTTCCCAGTTACATTCGCAGATGCGGAGCTAGACAAAGCCCAACCGCCGCACCAGTTCCGAAATCATGAAGATGAGGCTATCTATAAGTTGTGTGCGTGTACTCATGACTATTTACTTTGTCTTCCCGTGCTGATGAGTGATGATTTCAGACGATGCCCAGTTGTTCCACGGTTTACCGGTTGGACTTCAGCTGATCGGGCGGACCCTCGAGGAAGAGGCGGTTATAGCGATGACTGATATTGTTGATCGTGCGTTGAAACCCATGAGACAATAGGGCGTAGCGAGGGAACAGAGAGCAGTGATAAGGTCTGCGTGTGTATATCCAAGTCCACAATAGTGGCGAAGAAGTCTTCAATACAACCACTGATTCTCCCACAACAATACACGCACATGAATCATATCGGCGACGAATAGAACAGAGTGGCTCTACATGAAACGCGCCAAGAGATCGTCCACGTTGGCTTCCTTCCACCGCTTCTCCGTCACCCGCAGAATATCCGGGAACCACCCTGCCATCTCATCCTCTCGGTCGAGCACCATGTACGCGAGTGCCTTCCCACTCATCCAGGCGTGCACCATGCCCTCGCCAGAGTACCCTGCCGCGATCCACTCCCCCGGCGCAGCCAGCAGCGACCTGGGCTCCTTTTCCGGCAGCCTCGCGGGCTCTGCGCGCCCAGAGACTTTCGTAGGCAGTCTGCCCACCCAAGGCATAAGGTCCGTCGAGATCCCCAAAATGCCGCTCCACTGTGCCTTGGTTCTGCCGGCGCCCCAACGCGCGTCTTGTTCTCCCGCCGGCGCGGTTTCGCCGCCCCAGTGTGCTGCCCCAAAGTACAGCGGCAGCGCGCCCGCGAGGTAGCTGGCGGACGAGAAGCTGAGCGCAGCGTCGTCCGTGATCCCGATGTCGGGGAGGTTGCCGTCAGTCGACTGCGCCCAGCCGCCGCCGAACATGAGCTCGTGCTCGCCCGCGAGCCGCTGCGTGAGGTAGTCGTAGCCGCTCTCGCCGCGGTAGAAGACGTAGGAGCGCAGACCGTCGAGTGTGGTCTCGCCCAGGAGCGTGCCGGGGCGCTGTGCGGACATGGTCCCGCGGGCCGGAATGATCTTCGCGCGCATGGGCTCCAGAAGGTGGGAGCACCACCCGTTCGTGGCGTGGATGACGTGGGTGGCGGTGATGTTTCCCCGGGGCGTAGCCACGGTGTAATGGCGCGCGGATCGAGTGGGTGCCTTGATAGCTGTGCATGGCGTTTGGGTTGCGATGTGAAAACTGCAAAAAGCGGACGTGAGGCACGGGCTAAGTTTGGGAAGAAGCCATTCACTGACTGTCCTGTGTGTCTGTCTAGCAATCGGGCCAGCACAGACGTCACGTATCGATATGGGTGTAATGCACCGCCAGAACCGTATATGCAACCCACGACGTCCTCGGACAAACGGTAATTCTAAAATTCAAGTTGAGCATATAGCAAGACGGCCGGCAATCCAACAAGCAAGCAAAAACGATGGGTTAAAATTGGGGGGCGAGGCACGAGGGTATCCTTATCCTCAGCGATATCCAACCGCTATCTGGCTCCGGATTGAGACATACCTTAATTGCGTCCTCCTTATCATAGTATCCGAATGTATTCGACTCGATGGGCATGTCAACCTTCCATTTAGAAAGTTTCTCTTTAGCCTCAGAGAAAGCCTGGGGGCAAGTGAATACGTCGATGTGCTCTGTTTCACGGCACTCTGATTCTTTCAGGACGTCCTCAGCTTCCGCGATGCGTTTGATCTCGTTCAAGTGGGACATGCGAAAGCGGATGGTCTGCTGAGCGGCCCATATGCCGTGTTTCTCCTTCAATTCGGTGTAATCGTGGTAGAGAGGGGGATTGATATGGCCTCCATTTCTGTGAGCGCATGATAAGAGTGAGACGCAGCGCACTAGACATAAAGGAGCTGAGTACACACCTGCCGGTGGCACCTGAGCAGACCTCACGAGCCTCTAGCATGACTATCGTCACATTGTCTGTACGACCGAGGATGTTGTAGGCGACAGATGTCCCGGTGATCCCAGAGCCGATGACGACAATGTCGACATGGGTGGGGAGCTCCTTGCCGGATGAGGAGATAGCGACAGGCGGGACGGTCCAGAGCGGCAGCGTCGGGTTTGGAACGGGAATCCCTGGCGAGGTCTCGATTCGGTCAGCCACCAGGTTGTATGCGCGGCGGAGACTTTGGAGGCCAGCCAGAAGTGCGCGGGCTTTGGATGCGACGTTGCCCATGACTCTGAGGCTCGAGGCAAGTGCCACAGGTCCACTGGAGGCCTCGGTATGAATGGCAAAGACTCAGAGTACGAAAGATAAACCAATCACGACCGAGAAGCACGGAGAAGTTGATGCATGTGCGGTGCGAGCTAAGAGCTTTTCCCGTAGGGTAGGTGCAGCAACTTGAAGATGATCATGCTGAAACACAAACTTGGTCGATGCGAGCCCCTGCAAATTACACAGCTCAGTGAAACGTACCTGCGTAAGAGCCGGAGCTAGCTGGCAATAGAAAGTGTGTATTGGGTGAGCAGATTAATGCATTCATTTGCGTCGAGCGCCTCTTAGAAACTCTGGCGGTTCGGTTGAAGTACAGCTTGAAACTACGTTCGCTCGAGAGATATGCAAATTTGTTCACTCAGATCTTGAAATATTTGGCCAGACCGAATGATGATTCGATCCTGGTCATTATTGCGGATGTTTGAAACGGTTCAACAACGCGTCAGCCTTGTACGACGTCCAACAGGTACCATATATGCAATGCTTAGGGCTCGCGATCTCAGCCCATGGCATTTCACTGGCAGCTAGTAGTACTAGGAACCAGAAAACTCAAATCACCGTGGCCGTTCTAGGGGTCATTTATCGAAAAGTGTTGCCATCCTGTGTCATTCATGTCTACCGAAAATACCTCTCGTGCTTCTATCATAACTCACGGAGTTCCTCACTCATGACGGCCATCTATGCATGGGCTAGAGGCACTCGCAACTCCAGTCTAACTTTGACGTGTCATTTTGGAACAAACTCGATTGGAAACAACATCTACAATGTGTCGTGCAAGACATGAACAACTTCTTTCTGGATACGGGCCAGAAACTCGGTCAGCTCTAAATCTGGAAGTGCAGAATGATTCAAAGCCTGAGTGAGTTGTGTACGCAGCTGTCAAGTAATGGATGAGAGCAGCAATACTATTCATAAACCCGACAAACAAATACCCTCAATAAGGCCTTTCGCCGGATTGCGACCTTGTTTGTTCGGCTCTCTTGCTCTTCTTTTGCATGGAGTGCTGTTAGATTCTCTGCTATCCTCCTACCTTCCACGAGCACATCCTCGGGCAGGTCAGCAAGCCTTGCTAGCTCTAAGCCTACCACAACTACGTCAATATCATCGATGATTCAAACCATGTGGCGAACCATAATGGCTCATATCTTCGGGGGCGCCGTCCACAATTCTGGTGAGTGTTTAATAACGCCATAAACGCGAAGTAGATGGTGATACCTGTATTGAAACGTCATCCCGAAGTTGGAGTTTGTTCTGCGAGACCTCTGCAAAACGGATAAAATCTGGTCTTATCTGCGGCATGGACATTCGCTTTACCTGAACAGCTAGATGTAGGCTAGTGGACAAAATGAGACAAAATGAGATAGTGAAACATGATCATTTCGCGACTTACTGAACAATCGAGGGCTGGCGTGATAGGGTAGTCGTGAGTTCTTGGAAATGGCTGATGGTGATGAAGTCATAACACAATTACGCATTCGAGGAAATATGATGGAAAGGCGGCCAGGTGCTCACGTGGCAAAGAAGACATAACACTTTCAAGTTTGTGTTACCTGGGGTTTTGTGCGCCTCACAATTAAGGTACTCACTTTGATTTTTATGAGCTCCTCGGCGATCGCGTGCGAGATTCCGACGCCCTCGCTAGGGGAGGTGCCGCGGCCAACTTCGTCAATAAGGACCAATGAATCTGCAGTGGCAATGCCTAGTGAACTGTGTGAAGAGATGTTTTTGTCGGTTTGGACCTTCACGCCACACCTAATATCATCGCAGAAGATGCCATCTCGTTGGAAAACGTGCTCAGACTCTTTTCCATGTCGTCATCATTTGACAGGCGAGTAAGAAGAGCATCATGCAATCTAAACATCCACATGAGTAGCATGAAGCGCTCGAAAAGCTGAACAAACACCTGAAACTGCCGTATTCTGCCGGGATGAAGCATCCACACATTGCCATGGTCGTCAGTAGGCCGATTTGCCGTAAGTATGTGCTTTTGCCTGAACGAGTATTTGAATAGATAGGGATTTATTAGCATTATTTGAGAACGCACCAGACATGCTACACCCAGATTAGATCGAAATGAGCAGTAGTAGCCAAGGACAAACTGACTTTGGGCCTTGCACGACTTGAAACGAAGACGCCTCACAGCAATAAGCATCGTTTGGTACAAGAGTTCCAGCCGCTTGCACGGATTCTAGGACCGGATGACGCCCCGCTTTGATTGCCAGTGTTCCCGTGAACTCAGGGCGTACTATGAATATTTATGAGACAGCCTATGTTCATTGAGATCCAATCACTCGCCATAATTTCGAACTGGAAGAATCAATAACCTTCGAGTAGCAATGCGATCATGCACTCACGAATAGAAACATGCGCAAAACACCAGAGCATATCAAGAATGGCAACGGCTTCTGACGCTTTGTACAAAGCGCCAATGTCGAGAATAATCTCCGCAGTCAACTCTTGTATAATTCTATCGGAGGTGCTAAATATCCAGGTCAGGCATTCTACCCGACGGATGAGAAGTTCACCTATCACTGAGAATCAAAGTCTCATCCAAAGCGTCCTTCATTCGAGCATTTCGCTTCTTCTGAATTTAAACCCAGTTTACCATATCCATAAACCTGCAATGCATGCAACTTACGAGTTCTAATGAAGAAAATAGCCAGCGTCCCTTCTGCTTGTTGACGTTGAGAAAGCCTCGTGGGAGTTCACCATCCAAGTCATCCTTCTTTAGAGCAAAGACAAATCCTGCATCTTGCGAGATTAGAGTGATGGGAAGATTATGTTGATGTGAGAGGTCGCGGTTCAGAGCGAAGATATCGCCAACATTCTCCTTGTAGGTCTCTCGCGCAACGTCCAGTAGACGATTGAAATTAGCCTCGACGTGCAGATCATGAAAAACTTATACATGATGATGAAGGCCACCATACGCACCTTCACAGCATACACACGAGCGTTTATCGCACCAAGACCTCCCTGGGCGACTCTAAGTAAATACTGAAAGGGATACAGACCACCATGACAGCACCTTTGCTGGCGTGGCATCCTCATTCAGGCTTTCGCAGATGAGCCGTTCGATTTTACTCAATCGGTCGTCGGACACCATCTGGGGTAAACTGGATGAGGATGGCCCCAAAACGAATTGCACAACATCACTACCTCTGCTATGATCCTCAGCATTTGAGACCTACTTCCTTCGAGAGCCTTTGCAATTCCCGGTAATACGTTCACGATGTTACGCAGATTCAGCATTTGAGCCACACGAGCCGCAGCTGGTTTGGCGGTGCTCGCCTCCCGTGCTTCTGACGAAGCGAGCTTCGGAAGCCGTATTACGATATAGAGCGAGTGATAGCAGATTGCGCCACATACTGAGCAAATGAGCTTGTCAAGATCTATTTTGTTCAAAGTCTTGAGGGCTTGCTTCACGTCATTGAAACAACACTCTGTCTGGACAAGTTCTATCATAAAATTGAACAATATTATAGCCATTAGAGGGGTATTTTATTTCACCTTCAACAGCATCTAAGCGTGCCTCTATGGAGGAGTGAACTACAGGTTAAATTTTTGTAAATTGCATGAATTTCGGTGCAGCACGAGAGGAAATACCTGTGATGGGAGCGAGAATATTTGTACGTATCAAACGGGCGCCCATGGCCGTATGCGTGTGGTTGAATAGTCTTACACAACATTAGGGTCAGCAGTGCCACCAGTCGATGTCATATTTAAGCATACCCAAATAATGAGTGGGAAGATTTTTTGTAGGAAGCATTGCCGATAAGCTCAAGATTGCGAGCTGTTTCTGGATCGATCATCATTGTTCCGTCTATTGGGACATATCTTATGAGAAGCGAAGCGGCTGAAAATCGTAAATTTAGCTTTGCTTCCGCATGTTTGAAGAGTGCGCTAGCCGCGGATAGAGCATAGTATCTACTCAGCCACGTTAGATGAACTCTGATTTAGAGGGCGCATATACCCACTTGCTCGACACGGCAACGAGCATAGCCGCACGTTCGTCATCGTCAACAGTAAGCTGGTTTACGAATTCCAGGCCTGCGATTGACGTCAGAGACGAAAAGAGAACCATGAGTGCAGCACTTACCAGCATTCTCATTCCAGTATTTTCTTGAAACAGACTCCATCGGTACGTTGAATTCTTCCATCAGGCATTGCACAAGAACAGATGTCGACGATGGCCTCTTGCTTCCAGAGGCAAGTGTAGCATCGGACACGGACAGAAATGTATCAGGTACAAGTATAAGTGACGGCGCGCGAAGATGTATCTGGTGCAGTGTCTTGACATAGGTGGGACTGTCCGCGAGCTATATGGAATAAGAAATCTCTGAGGTGGCTCAACTGCAGGAAGACCGAACGCACTTGTGCCAAGAAAACTCTCCCGGTTTCTTTCTCCAAAGCAGAAATACCGACTTCGCGAGCCACCCCGCGACCTTCCAACACGGCGATTATATAATTGGCTTCATGCCTAGAAGACGCAGCCGTTTGGGGTCTCGCAGTCGTCAGCCGTGACTGGGCAGTCCACCCGTGAGATATGCCGGTCTGCGGATGCGACGACGACGGACGTGCTGACATTTGCCGACCAACTGAGGACATTGGAACAGACGCAGGTACGAGTGAGATATTGACTTGAAATGAAAAATCGCGACACACGAATTGCCAGTACATATAGTTGTTAGGTCACATGAATTACGCGTCGGAGTCCGACGCGGTCAGGTGGTCGCGTTTCATGAGTGCACGTGCTAGGTTTTACTTTATCAGTGTGCCATCCATGTCATAGCGACTCTTCACCGAGAGCAGAGAGGTTTCTCCACGGGCATATGTTGGTATTCATTTTTGTCACCTTAGAAAGGAAATTGGATACATAATGTTGTGGGATTTGCTGTGCTTTGCCTTATCCTACCCATAGCCACAAACACAATTTCACATTGGTCTCCTTCATATCCACAATTCATCATCATGACAAAGTACACAGTTGTAGTCATATGATGCATTCATTTTGTGGTTGTGGCACTAGACCTCACACTACATGGGTACTTGTGAATGGCAGACAGAGCTCATGTTCATTGAGAATGTATTTTAAACAGACCATTATGTTTGGTAGGTTAATATTGTACATATTTCTTTGCATGAAATGTTGGTGTACTGACTTCACAATTTGATCTTTGTGAAGTCAGTGTGACAGCTATGGGTGTTTGTTTCCTATTTAGGCAACAGTGGATTTCTGCTCAGTAGTGATATGGAAGTTATATGATGGATTTGTTTTGTGGTCTTTCTTATTTCTCCTATGTTGTCTTTATACCAAACTTGTCATTCTCTGTTATATACAGCTTCATACAGCATTGTATTTGACTATATGTATCCAGTTTGTTCAGATAATGACAGCAATTGAGGTTGTGAGTAAAGTTTTTTAGATATGTTTGACATTTCATCCACTCTTTAATTACTACAGACAATTGCAATATCTTCTTCATTTTGTCTGTTGATGATACCATACCCACATCAGGAAAACTGCCCTGTACTAATTAGAACTACTTAGTTATAAATGTTGCTAATTAGTGGAATTAGTATTTTATACTAACTAGTACAGTCCCCAACTAATTAGGCAAGGTTAGGGCAATTATGTAGCATTTAGAACAGCATAAGAATCAAATAGTGGCATAGTTTTAGCAGGTATTTCATTTATCAAACAGCTCATTGACAATTATTTCAGCTGTATCAGCATATATTTGCATGGGTTGTTGTCACAGAATTTCATGGTGTCTATCTTATCTTCAGCGTCTAGATG